ATTATTTGTGAATCTTTTTACACAAAATTGTTTTTCATATCTTTTTTTTCTCTTCTTTTTTTCTTTTAAAATTTAATATATAGATACTTAATGAATAATTCTATTGTAAATGCTCTTTGTATACAAAATGTAAAAAATAAAAAATAATTAAAAAATTAAACCTGATTTTGAGTGAAATAATTTCAAATTTTAGTAAAAATATTAAACTTAAATAAAGTTTTGCCATAATATCCTGAAACAAAGAATAATAAAAAATACCCATCGTGATTTAGAAAAAAAAAAAAACACCGTGGTTTATTTCTAAATTTCTAAATCGTTGTACTAGTTTTTGGATCTTATATCTAAACCGAAACTAGATCTTCGATAAGTATCTGAAAATAAATAATGTCATGTTTCATATTTGTGGACATAACTACAGAAGTGTCATAGATAAATGCCGTTTTTCATGTGCAACTGTTGAATAGGGCAATGGTCTACAAATTTTTTCTTGATAGTACGTTTAAATTCATAATCATACATTTATAACAAAAAAAAATCAGCATAACTATATTTAATTCCATATTTATTAACCAACAAATGTCAATATAATTAATTTAAAAAATATTTTGATTTTGTTTACATAACCAAATCAAAAATAAATAAACTAAAAAGTAACTAACATAAATAGCAATTACATATTTTGAAAATAGATGTTCATGTGTGTTTGAATATTCAGTGTTAGTTTAGAAAACTGATGTTTTAATTTAATTATGTTTAAGAAAATTTTATTAATTAGTCTTATCATAGATATTGGGAGAAATATACTACATTTCTTCACCAAATTCCCTACGCAAAAATCATCATTTATGTTTTTTTATCTACTTTTATAATAATAATTTGTCAAAGAAAAGCACACATAAAATATCTATAATTATAAAAAAAAAATTATAGGTAAATATAAAATCTCTAGATAGTAAAAAGTTTTGTTTTTAGTTTTGATTTTTGAACAAGGTCTTTTGAAAGTTTGAGACGTCTTTGATCACAAAATACGTCACCTTTGTTCAGCTTGATGCCTAAATAAGTTGTGTAAGTTTAAAGTGGATAATAGAATAACTGATGTTGCTTTCGAGAATTTTATTTTGTTTTGTCCCTTTTATTGGACCAGTGAAAGTTTCACCGACGACGACAAGTTGGGCAGCTAAAAAAAGCAATTGACAACGACGTTCTGATTCAATTTTCACGAGTTTATTCGATAAAAATGTAACCAAGAGAAAAAAAAGTTCATTAACCGACACTATAAATTATTTTGTGTGGGATCACTTACAAGGATCTTGAAGGTAGAAAGAGGATCTTCATGGATGAGATGTGTACGAATGAACGGTGTTGATGAAGAGATCATACACATCAACGACTCCCATTGGTTTCTACCTAACGAATCACCAACGAACATTATTGTTTTGTTTCTCATCTTCTGTAGAAACTTTACCCCATTGAACCTGCTTTCCAAATAAATCAGTTACAATAAAACTAATTAAATAAATCATTGCATTGACCCTACAACTAATAATAACTAATCATCTTAATCGCACCAAACTTCCCCAACAGCAAATCAATTCGGTTTGTTAATATAAAGAATCTATTAAACTTGTACTTATCACCCAACCCGTAAAGGCGAAAATTCCATAACATATTTTAAGTTATAGAAATATCCTCCGACTCGCACAAAAAGAAAATAAAAAATATATCCTCCGACTATATGTTTAATTAATAAAAAAGTTCATAACCATAGGAAATTGTATGTGGTTGTTGTAGATATATAGTAATTCCTGGGACCACTGACATATATGATCCAAATAATATTTATGGTGTAAATCTTAATGTCTTTAAACATAACCTTGGGTGTTTAAATACTCGAGGAGAAATGATAAACTCGATAACAATGTCCCTCAAAAGCAAAGATAAAAATAACATTAACTTAAATAAATGTATTAGTCTAATGAAATAGCTAGCTAGTGACTAGTGAGTGAGTTTTGTTAACCTTGGGACGTCGCAGTTAAAAGGTTTCCACCGGAACTTGAGATAGTCGGAGTCAGGTCTGCCGTAAGTCTGACAATCAAATCCCGGATCTATCATTCCTCTGCCACATTCCTCCGCCCGGTAAAGTGGGTACGTCTCGTCCCTTACCCACTCACCAGCAAACAGATCGCAGCTACTTCGGTTCACCGGGAAAACAACCCGACGTCGTGGATGCTTAGCGAAGTTGCTGTGAGTGCTGTTGTTCTGAACCGGCCTCCTGCGGAGAGGGAGAGGCGAACCTGAGGTTGCGTTTTGGAGAAGGAGGATAAACAAGAGGAGGAAAGTGAGACATTGAAGAGGAAACATTAAAGAAGCTTGAAGAGAAAAAGAAAAAGAGAGAGAAAAAGGGAAGTGTTGTTATTAGATGTTGTCCTTTTGCATGGAGCTTGCTACGATATCGTATGTTTAAGCCTTCAACGAGCTACACCTTTAAAGAGGACGAATTATTATGGGGCCGGGTTTAATTTTTTTTATGTAATAAACTTATAATTACTTTTTTTTTTGGTTTTACCCATAAATAACAACATTTATGAGTTTTAGCCCTAGTGTTTTATACGATATATGTCAATACATTATTATTATTTTTATTTTTAAAAAAGCTAGTTAAGTGTTAAATATCATATTCTATATGGTTTATTTTTTGCTAACCGAATATTTTGACCCTACTAAATTGGTTTAGACTAGAGACCGAAGCGAACAATGACACTGTTAGGATGTTATCATGTGGCTCACCTATAATAATCTTCGGTCTCGGATGCTCGGTCTCGGATACTACAACTCATATGTAAATTTCTATAGGGTTCTTGACATTCTGGATTATTGTATATCGAAAATTCTTTTCGTTCTCCTTCTAAGTGTGTTTTTTCTTCTTCGGGAAATACAAATATAAATATGACAAACTTATTCCAAGGTATACATTTTTTGTTTGGTTAATTAAAGCAAGTACAAATATATATGATCATAGATTTACCAAAAAAAAAAGTACAAATATATAGATTCTTTGCGTAACTTGGCGTTCATGTCTAGAATATATATGATCATGTCTCGTTTATCTAAAACGGCCACGTCCTGGGAGAAGCGAAAAAGCTACGTCACGCTGGTCAAAGCCAGTCAAAGCTCGCGGCACTGCCAGTGAAATAAAATTTTATATATTAAAACCAATCTGGTACTGAGAGTGACACTGGGCAACTTGGTCTGAACGATAAATGAAACCGCAAATTGCAATCTGACCGGGTCTTAATACGGTTAGTGGGTACTGTTGGTTGGGCTTTGGTTTAGATTGTCTGCAGGTTTTGTTTAGTACAGAATTGTACAGTAGAGCCCAAATAATTGGACCGACTTAACTTATCTGGATATTTGGTCATTGATTTAAAACCAGATCCGATTCGTTTTACTCATCCTCCTGCTTCAGTCACCTTCGTTCGTTGATCTTGGCAAATGGCAACATTCTTCTTGATTGGCTCAAGTATGAACTCCCTTAACTTGTGATTTCTATCCCAAACTAGGATTCATTTATCTAGGGTTTCAATTCTATGCTTTAGTCGTAAGATCACATGGTATATGGTAGGGTTATATGTGCTAAGACTAAATCTGATTGAAGTGGTCATTTTTGTAAAGTCCGGAGGTATCTTAACCCGAGGGTCCAACTAATTCTATGGGGTTTAATCTACTGGTGACAAGTAAGTCCGGTTATTTTACGAGGGAACAAGATAGCCACGCCGACTGACCATTCAGATTAGTAAATCTAAGTGGCAATTTTGGTGGACAAGATAAATACTAATATTATAAAATGTTTATAACAGGATTCATTTGGTAGTTTCTGATTTGATGAAGGATAAATTAGAAGCTAAGTAGATTCTGACCAGCGCGGTTACGCAGAATCATTTATAGTTTATGTTTTTAAATTACAGTTAAATGTTTGATGATATTTTCTAAACTTAGATTTGTGTTAAGCTGTATTTATTGATTTCCGATTTGATTTTGGTTCACCTATGAATTTTTGTTTTTATTTCATAAAATTTATTAATAGTTTCCCACTGCCCATTGCCTATTCGGTGATTACGCAGTCCTAGGCGGTTCGTTTTTGAACACATGTCTATTCATTCAGAGACTAAATAATTCATACGTTTATTAATCATCTATATATATCTACTATAAATAAAAGGGCTTAATAAACCCCTCTGAAGTTGTCCACATAGGCATTTATATTCAACCTATAATAAGCCTCTAATTATCCACGTCAGCTTTGGTTACAGCAAGAGAAACCCGGTTTGAATTTCTGTTCTGTCCGATAATCTTGCGAAATACGGTTTGGTTTGTAGTCGAAAATGATAGTCTGATTTTAGGTTAATTAGAGGAGCGGAGAAATCTAGAATAGATGTGCTCCCTCAGCTTTCGACTTCCTGAACTCCATTACTTCACTTCCTTTTTTTCCAGTAATCTAACCCACTGTCTGTTCTACTCAATACTTGGCTTCATTCTGAGTATGCCTTTTTAGGTAACGATGTTTTGGATGAGGTTGGGCTTGGTGGATTGGATGAGGAAGATGAGATTTAGTCTTTCAATGGAATAGCAGATGATGGCTTTTCGTATGACAAGGAAGAAGAGGTTTAATCTCATTATTTTTTCTCTTAGCTTAGCATCTATGCTCTATGTATTTGGGAAGAGATTAAGCTTTTCTTCGGTTAGACTTACACTTCCTCCCCCAATATTTGCAGATTGAAGATTCTAGGCCTGTATTTGGGAAGAGATTAACTTACTATGAAGAAGTTACATCCATGGCAATGAAACTATTGAAGGTTCAAATTATTTTATGTCATTTCCTCCTTCCAATGAAGAGGTTTGTGGTGCCGCTTTCTCTTCTTAAGTTAATATATTAAAAATAAAGAGCTAATCATGCATCAACTGATTGTTTGAAGCTCTTCACATAGCTTTCAGTATCAAAGATGCCTTTGCTCCTCCTATGTAGGTAATTTACCAACACAAAGAAACATCTTATAGGATTTTAACGTTAATCCGTCGAGTGGTTTTATGATTGTTATTTGTGGGATTGTTAGGATTACCCATGCTGGGCCAAGGAAGAAGATATACTTCAGACAGGAACAAGTGAAGGTTGTGATCATCTCATGTGGTGGGCTGTGTCCTGGTTTCAGTGATGTCACATACATGTGAGTTTATAATTTCCGAAGCTTCTAGAGAGAGACAATGTGAGACCCTTTTTTATGTTATGAAAGTTCTTATTATTGTCTTCTTTTTTTAAAAAAAAATTGTCATCACTGTTGAGATTTATGGTGTTAAGCTTCCTTTTGGTTATCGTGGGTTCAATACATCATTGAACACTGAATCTCTGTTCCTCACCTACCAATATGAGTTTGTTTATCTTAATTACAGAACGTAAGAAAGAGATTATGATGGACTCCAAAGGTGGTAAAAAGAAGTCTAGAGTAGCAATTCCTTATCTTATGAAGCCCCCTTGGTTACATCCTTGAAGATGTTCATCAAGTTTCGGATGGTTTGAGTCTCCTCTTCAATCCTAAATATCAAGTGCCTTGATCAGTCAATTGTTTTTATATTTATTCTCTGCAGTGCTCTAAAAAAGCCATCCTGAGGTGTAGCTTGCACTGAGACTTCTAAGATATCTGTTTCTACAATATCCACTCTATAATTTACTTTATTCTAAGATCTGTTTCTGCTGGTTCCTGATGGTGTTTATGGTCTTATCCACAATCGTTCTTGAAGGTTAAGAGAAGCGTCTCGAGATTACTTTCTTTGATCGAAGCACATTGTCTCTGTGCCCTGACCAAGTCCCAATTGGACGAAATACTCACCTGTATGCATCCAAGATCGTTTCTTATTTCTACAGCGATCACTTGACGGGAAATGATGATGAGTCTAAAGAAAGGTATGTCTATGCTGCCTCTAGCCAGTTCCTACTCCCTAGCAACTGCAACAAAAATGTCTAACCTTCGATATGTGCATGACTGTTTTATACAAGGTATTTTACTAGAAGGAAAGTGGGAAAGACCCGATCAATGACTGAAAACACTGGAATCAGAAATGCAAACTCCACTATCCTTATGACCTCTGAAGATGGGTTTAGTTACTCTAGCTTCAAAGCCGTAGGTTATGACTATAACACAATCCACCTGAGTCAGCTCGTGACAAGGGTTCTGTCTTGCTATAAGCCTAAGAAATGATATGAAGCATTCATTCAATCATCTTATAGGTGCAGAGAGAGGACATTTGAGTCTTTAGGCGAAGAGAGGGAACAGTCATGAATCAGACGTTTGAGAAGTTTGGCAAGTTCTATGGGTCGCCTGGATCCACCGTAAGTATGACTGAAGCAGCAACAACAATAGCTGCAGCAGGAGGACGAGCAGAACTTTATCTTTTTTTTTGAGCAACTAAAATATTTTGAGCTTCTATTTTTGCATTTTTTTTTAAAAAAACAATGAATCATGACTTTTGAAGTTGAGGTAATCTCCTTCACAAGCATGCGTGTACTTTAAGTTGGGTTTAAAATTTCAATATATGAAAGAATATTATGTTACCTATTATGATTTACTGATTTTTTACCTTAGTCTCTCTATCTCTCTTTTTTGTTGTCACAGTGCAATGATATTGATCTCAAAGCTACTTTACCTATTTTCCGAGCAGCATTGGATCCTTGCGCTTAAGTAAACTTTTCCGAGCTTCTGCTTCAAGAGGGGAACACCCAACAAAGTGCCCACTGTTCTATGAGAAGCTGATAGAGATGGCGTTGTTGTACCTGATGTGGCCATACAACATTTTCCTTTCCAGAATTATGTTCCCAAACATGATAAGAATGGGTTAGAGAAAAAATACGCATATAAAAATATAGCTAACAACCAAACATGTCACGATAACTTGTGACAAATTGACAATTTAACAAATATCAACCGTAATTGTGATCTTTATTTATCACACATGATTTTTTATCCAAATAATTAAGATCTTGAATAAACATACATTCAGTACTTTAAATCACGTCATGTCCCATATTTTAACAAAAATCATACAAACTTGACAATAGTTTGTCATTACCAAACATCCAATAGTTGTGCCATTGTTCCTCTTAGTAGACGTCGAAAAAAGTTGTTTTCCTAACCGATGCTGATATTTAAAGGATGAATATATTTTTGTAATTTAAATAAAAGTTGTAAATTTTCGTAGACATATTTTCCTACATCTTTTATTTTTTTGACAAAGATTTTTCCTAAATCTTTATAAAATTCATTTTTCACAAGTGATGACAAAAGAAACGCGTGTAAATTTAGATTGAAAGGTACAGCTATCTAAAACTCACTCATTTTTAATATATATATATAATTTTCAGCTATGCACAAATTTTAGAGGTCGTACAAAATTGATCAAATATGCTTAGATTTATTAAATTTAGATGAAATTATTTGCTTATAACTAAGAGTGTATTTATCTTTCTGTTTGATAAAACATATGCCTTTTTTTGGATTTATCATATCAAAATACTGTAACTGGATCATAATGTTGTAAAAAATATAAATAATAACCCAATCTTTGGTAATTTAAATATATACACACTATATACTCTAATACAAAATATGATTACCTGAAATCGAGATAACATTAAACAACTCGAATTCTGTCCAGAAAAACTCTTAGTTTATCTAAACACAATAAGAAATAACACTTATCTGACATGACTAACTCAAGTATAGATGAAAGAATAGAGCACTTTTACTTTAAAAATGAAAAGTCCGTACAATGCACACAAACACCACCGTCAAAAATATAAGATAGATTTTCATTCTCTAGAGTCTATTTTTGTTTCAGAAAAACTAATTATACCAACCAGAATACATGCATACATACTTTAATAATAAATCAACCTAATAAAAATAATCTCATGAAAACTCCAATAATAGTGTAGAGTTTTATTCCAGAACAAACTCACTATGATTCTTTCAAGTGTTTTATACTCACTTATAAACGTATAGATGCGACAAGTTCATCCACGCAAAAAGTATGATATAGATACGTTTATAAAGGCTCTGAAACATGAACTACTATCATGGCAACTAATTTTATCAAGTCCTATCAAGGATGGCAATTAGTTATCTTTAATAGTAACAATATATCAGTAACTTGATGTTAGTGTTATTGTTATAAAAAATATTAATCAAAACAAACAAGGTTTTCCCTTTAAAGAGTCTCTGGTAATAGTCAATAATTTGTTATTTATTTCTAAATTACCAAATAAAAATCAATATATTTTCATTTGTTCTACTCTTTGGAATATTTCTAAGTTTATTGGTTCTAATCTCTACAGAATGATTTAAGATGGAGTAAAAAAAAAAAAAATTGTGAAAATATAATCCGCGCGTAGCGCGGACAAAGAATCTAGTATATATAAAGAGAAGAGATTCTCTTCACACGATGCCACGTCAACACCGCAAAAAAAGAAAATTGTCATGTTAACACCGTCTCACTTGTGTTTAAAATGTCGTTTATTATTATATATAAATTCATAAAATATGATATTAATGTTTAAGAGATTAAATGTAAAAATACGATGAATTAAATTTATTTTAATATATTTTATATAAAACTATGTCATAAATAAAAGTAAGCTATCATATTGGATGGTCTAATGCAAGAATTTTGTTGTCATATGTAATAGATTAGAGTCTTTTACTCTTTTTCTAGGTAGTTCAAATTGTCACTATAAAAAAAAAACTATGCAAGCAGAGAAAGAAATCAAATAATCCAATCATTGTTAATATATTTTGCGGAAAAAAGCTTGAAACATGACTGTCATTCTTCCAAAGGACACAAAAACACGCCGTGAAATTATATAAATTGTCCTAGTTTTCTCAGAATACCAATTTCTAAGACGATTTACAAATTGTACATATAGTTCATTCTTACTTCTTTACTTTCGGTCTTGAAGAAACATAAAAACATATTTCCAGTACCTTCATATCTCTCATAAACTTAAGACTTATCAGATATGTATGAAAAATAGAACAATCAACAAATAACTTTCATGAAAACGTACCAATCTGTTTCATTACTATTTTGTTTTTCGCCGGACCCTCTTTACTACCTCCGCATGATTGAATCCTCTCCATACTCAAACGAACAATCACATACTCGGTAAAATCTTTAGAAAAACTATGAGGGAAACACTCAATACCTTGCACTGATTTGATTACCATCCTTTTCTGATTTCTAAATGGTTCCCCACCTAATCACCATTGCTGATCAACTCCAACGGCATCAAAACGGAGATAAACCTATACCAAGCTTATCAAAAAAAGAGCCCCCATCATCTTCTTCCAAAACACAAATGGGTCTACTTCTGATCCATTTAACTCAACTAAATTGATTTTTTTGTCCTAAATACCTATTTACCCACCAAATAACAACTACAATTATATAATATAGATACACTAAATAAATATAAAAATTAATATTTCATGACTATGTAATCACCAAATAAAAGTTATAATTTTTTGGTATCATTAAAAACAAAAAATAAATTCATAAGTAATAGAAAACATACAACACGAATGCATACTCATAAAGTTTTTCCGACACTTACGCAAACATATAAGCAAATATGTAAAAAAAAAACCCCAGCCATTCTATAAAAAAAGTGATGACAAATTCCAATATCTCTTCAATTAAGGTGGGACTGACAAATAAAAACTAAATTCATACCATCTACGTGGAACTGCACATGTTGACACATAACCCCTCTTATTTCATACATAAACACCCCTCAAACAAATGAACCTCATACCTATTAAGACGGGAAAATTCTTTAAAAATACATAAACTAATTTTCATTTGCTAATAAAATACGTGAACTATTTTGGATACCCGTTTAATACACGAATTAATTTTTGTTTTCTATTAAATACACAAACTTTTGAATTTCGCAGATTTTACACATCATTTTAAATGGCAATAACTATATTTAACGGAAGTGACGACGACGTTAGTGTTTAATTAAACATGTATTAAAATTGTGAAAAGAAAATTCCTAAGAAAATATACGGACTAATTTTCAATTGCTAATAAAATACATGAATTATTTTGGATCCCCGTTAAATACACAAACTAATTTTTGTTTTCCATTAAATATACAAACTTTTAAAATTTGTAGATTTTACACATCGATTTAGACGACATCGACTATGTTTAATAAAAGATGAAGTTGGTTTTAATTAAACACATGATTAAACTGTTAAAATCACGCTCACCCTCCGAAACTTCTCAAATTGATTGAGTCCTAATTCAAGTTAATTTCAATTCAAATTTGGCACCATAATCTGTTTCAACCTTTATTCTCTAAATTCTGTTCATTTTCTTATTCTTTTAACGCTTTGATTTCCCTTTATATTACTTCTAAGTAGAGTCGTGTAAATCGTGTTAAACATAGCTTACATCGTCTTCTAAATCATGTTAAACATAGTTTACATTGTCTAATCGATGTGTAAACTGAAAATTTCAAATTTTTTTGTATTTAATGGAAAACAAATATTAGTTTCTGTATTAAATAAATAGTTCATGTACTTTATTAGCAAATTAAAATTAGTTTGTATATTTTTTAAGGAATTTTATTTTCACAATATAAACACATGTTTAATTAAAAAATAATTTCTTCCATTAAATATAATTAACGTCGTCTAAAATGAGGTGAAAAACTGTGTATTTAATATAGCATCGGATGAAGCCATCTTTGAGAATATTTCTACCCTTTATAAAATGATAAACTGATAGTGGTTCTGAGGGTCAATCATGGGCTCAACCCGCTGATATATACTCCTTCTGTTTCATATTAAGTGTCGGTTTAGATTTGTATACACGAATTAAGAAAACATTTAATTTTGCATATTTTCTATATAAAACAAAATTATCTACACCTAACCATATTTCAACCAACAGAAAAATAAATTATAATATAAAATTAATAAATTAATTTTTAAAGTTGAAAATGACCCTTATTTTGTGACAAGATTTTTCTCTACAACAACACTTAATATGAAACGAAGGGAATATAGATTTCACACGAAGGAAACGAAGGCGTCGACATCGCAAAAGAGTTTAATGTGAATGAAAATTATTCCCGAATTAAAAGAAATACACTAAAACATTGGAGGAGGTGAAGAGATAACGACATGGGAAGTAA